GAGAAACCTATAGTTTAGTAACATTTTTCTTCTGTGTGGTGTAAGAGCAAGTTAACCTTGTTAATTTTTTTGTATCCTTTTATTTTTATTTTACTATGGGAGAATACCTACCAATTTATACTCTTAACAAATTTTAAGTGTACAATACATTATTGTTGACCAACAGGTACAGTGTTATGTAGCAGATCTATAGAGCATGTTCATTTTACTTAACTGAAACTTTATGCCTATTGATTAATATTTCCCCATTACCTCCTCCTCCCAAAACCCTGGTTACCACTATTCCAATCTCTGATTTTATGAATTTGACTCTTTTAGATACTTTATATAGGTTAACTGCTGTGTTACTTGTCTTTCATATTCTTTCTTTTAGTTTTAAGTTTTTAAAAATATAATTGACATTCTATATTATATTAGTTTCAGAGGTACAACCTAGTGTTTAGACATTAAATAATTCACAAAGTAATCCTCCCCATAAGTTTAGTACCCACTTGGTACCATGCATAGTTATTACGATATTATTGACTATATTCCCCATAACTATTTTATTTTGTAACTTCCAATTTGTATTTCTTAATTCCTTTACCTTTTTCTTTTTCTTTTTCTTAGTATACTTCTTTTCATACAAATGTAGCTTGTGGAATGGAACATCAGTGAATATGTAAATTGTACCATCAGCTGCATAGAAATAATTTATAAATACAGTTGAAACCAAGTGGTGGTGATCAGATCTCTAATTTTGGTTGTCTTGCAAAATTGAGTTTGCTGACAAAGAGGGGGCAAGCGAAAACAAAATTTTTTTGAAAAATAGACTCCTCACAGCAGGGACAGGACCCAAGTGGTTGTTGGTGAGGCTGATTTGTTTAGGGGTAGATATATGCCTTGCTAGCCTCTGATTGGTCCTTTTAAGGAATTCTGCCTTAGCAATATCCCTACATTTTAAAGCTTGTATTAACCGCCCAACTGGGTTTATCCCTAAGTCATCTAGCCCTAAATTCATATTAGCCTTCTGAAAAAAGCATATGTGGGCATCACTGATTTTAAAAAGCTCGCCCAAAAGGTGAATTGGGGCAGATTTGATTAGCAAAGATATATATTGTCCCATAGCATTCCCTAGTTGGAAGTGGACAGGTTATTTAAAAACAGACATTGATTAGCTATTCCTTACATTTGAACAGAAGCTTTATTCCCAGGGAGGAGACAACTTAGTTGGGTGTGGTTAAGAACAAATTAAGTAGCCCCAGCTACCTATAGGGGCCATAGTGGCTTCCCTTTTTATGATCATTTCAATTTCTCCCAGACTATTAGTGAAGAGGAGGGGAAACACTCTAGAAGAAACTCTATACTTGCTTTTGGTTTCTTTTCTGAATCCAATTTTTGTTTTCTGTAATCCTTTTTAAGGTAACCTGGCTTTCTGCAGTAGAAACACACTCTATAGTTTCGCAGCAGAACTCATTCAGCAATCCTGTTGCCTTGCTTGACCCCAGTAGGTAAATTAATTGGAATGGGTCAGACTTACTAGCACTATATTCTTTAACAGTAATTAAAATTCATTTGCAAACCCGTCAGAGTCCCAGAGAAAGGAAATAATACAATTGCTGTTCTCTTGCCTGAAACCAGCTTTTGGGGGGGGTGGGGGGGACGGGACGACTACGACGGGGGTTGTTATTGTAATTAACTGTGCTTCTTCCAGGACCTTCTAATTTTGCAATACAGTTCAGCTTTTCATTTCTATAAGTCAGGTGTGTTAATGGGGTCTAGGTGTTTCTGGTCTTCGAGGTGCAATTTCCCATGCTGATTTTAGTTTTATTTTGAGATCTGTAGAGTCTGAGTAAACCTCCAGATCTACTGTGTACATGGTTAAAGCATACTGCCTGTGTGCTGGGCTCCAAGTCCTTTCAAACCTACCCACGTGTCTCAGCCTTCCCTTCCCATGGTCCTGTCCCTTACTGCCTACCTGCCTCTATCTCCTCAGAGTCTTTCCTAATTTTGGGAGTTGACCTTTAATTATTGACATAGATTTTATTTCACATGCATTTTTTTAATTAAACATATACAAGTAAAATTTGAATTCTACTATAAATGTGACTTGTAGTTCTGTTGTCAGTTTTACATTTCAAAAAGAGCAAAAATCTAGTCATCTAGAAAAAGAATACGTGTGTATTCTTTTGTAAAAGGCAACTACAGGGCTATGTAGCTGCATGAATGCCAACCCTCTCTTCTCTTCTTTCCTTTGGGCCTGTGTGATGTGGGTCTTAATGGATTAGCTGTCTGATTAAGAAACTCAGTCCTTCTGTACAAAACAACTTCCCTCTAATTCTCTGTCCTTTTTGTCTGCAGATATGAAGTGGAGTTTGATATTACTTATTATACTATACATCTTAAAGTATTATTGTAGGGGAAAAAAAAGGAAAAATATAGAATAAATAAAAGGAGAAAATCTGTCATTCTACCATCCAGAAATAATCAGTAGTAATAATTTGGTGCTTTTTTGCGCCCCCCCCCCCCTTTGAGTGTATATATACATTTGAAAATATCTAATTGATATCATATTGTATATAGTAGAGGTCATACTGTGACAGTCATGCAGGAGTAGAGACTGGCTGACAAGATAGTAGATTCATGCTCAGTGTAGAAGTTACTTTTCATTGAGAGGAATTAGTGTCTTTTTCTTCTTCATGTTGCTAACCTAAATTTGAACAACTTACATGCATTTTTGAAGCAGGTCCAATTTAATAATCTCATGTCCTGCTTTCTTCTGATAATATATTATGGATGTTTAAATTCTACTACTTACCCACCTCATGTTCACTTTCTGATAGATTGAGAACTGGCAATAATATAGGATATATTATTTAAATAGTTCCTTGATTGTCTCAAATCTCTTGGACATATCTTAGAGCGGTGCTGTTCAATAGAAGTAATGCATGCCACATATAAAATTTCATATTTTCTAGTAGAAGTATTTTATTTTTATTTATTTATCCTCACTCGAGGACATATTTTACATTTATTTTCAGATAGAGCGGGAGGGAGCGAGGGAGGAAGAGAGAGAGAGAGAAACATTAATGTGAGAGAGACACATCGACTGGTTGCCTCCCATACAACTCCAACTGGGACCAGGGACAAACTGCAACTGAGGTGCTTGCCCTTAGTGGGAACTGAACCCGGATCTCCCTGGTCCGCAGACCAACACTCTAACCTCTGAGCCAAACTGGCCAGGGCAGTAGTGGGAATATTTAAAAAAGTACAGAGAGCCTTGGCCAGTTTTGCTCAGTGGTTAGGTCACTGGCCTGCGGACAATGAGTCATGGGTTCGATTCTGGTCAAGGGCACGTACCTTGGTCGCGGTTTGTGCCTGGCCCAGGTCGGAGTCGTGTGGGAGGCAACCAGTAGATGTGTCCCTCTCACATCTATGTTTCTTTCTTTCTCCCTCCCACTCTATCTGGAGATAAATAGAAAAAAAAACTACAGAGAAACAGATGAAATTGATTAAAATTTTTGTTTTAATCCTCACCTGAGGACATGCTTTTATTGATTTTTTGTTTTTATAGAGAGAGGAAAGGAAAAGGAGGGAGAGAAAGAGAGAGACATTCATGTGGGAGTTAAACATCCATCAGTTGCCTATGCACCCTGACTGGGGATGGAACCAGCCACCTTTTGGTGTTTGGGCTGATGCTCTAACCAACTGAGCCACACTGGTCAGGGCCAGCTGAAGTTAATTTTAATAATACATTTATTTAATTTAGTATAACTAAAATGTTATGGTAACATAGTATGAAAAATTATTGAGATATTTTATAATTTTTTTAATTGAATTTATTTGGGTGACATTGGTTAATGAAATTATATAGGTTTCAGATGTACATTTCTATGATATATCATCTTGACTTGGGGTGATTGAAGCACAGTCTTTTTTCCTTACAAAATCTCGTGTATATTTTTTACTTACAGAATATCTCAAGTCAGAGTAGCCACATTTCAACTGTTCAGTAGCTCAGTATTAGCACAGTCCTACAGCATATAATTTTCCCTATAAAGATGGAATAAATAGCTCTTTGCAGGGAAGACGGGGAAGTGTAAAGGAAAGAAAATGGCAAAGCCAAGTTATATCATGGACACTGAGCACTCATTTGATATCTCATGAAATTTTAAACCTTTCCCTCAATAAAATTACATATCATTATGGACCTTCATGTCACACAATAATAATAAATTTGTAGTTGTCTAAAGGTCTCATGGGTGTACTAGTAGTAGCAATTCTCAGAATAGTCAGTAGGATCAATTCACATTCCAGGCATTTTGTATAACTAAGAGTTTTGAGTATACCTTTTGGTTTAAGACCTTGGAACAAATAAATTTTATCCTTCTTTGTAGAGAATACTTTTATGAAGTGAGTAATAAACATATACACATACATATTCATACTTTTATGAAGTAATAAACATATACACATTCATATTACAAATGTATATTTAAATTATCTACCTACCTACCTACCTATACTTGCCACATGCATTTGTGTTAATCCTTATCTTTACTCTTGAGAAACAGTAGCAATTAAAATCATTATGTTCTTCTTAAAATGAATTTGTGGCACGATAAGAAAGATGTGGCATGATCATCTAGAAGATCCCTAAGATTAGGAATATAAACTGTATGTAACATATAACAAGATTATTATTGAGCAAACTTTTGGGGGGGGTGCTTAATACACACAGCATTTTATAATGTATAGTACAGTTAATATACTGTATTATTAGTATAAAATGTAGGGAGATAAGAGCACAGTGAAGTTTGTGAGTATGTTAACCAAGGACATAAAGGTGGTAAGGGGCAGAGACAGAATCTAGCTGCCCTTTATTTGCCATGTTCTTCTTGTCCTCCAACATATCTGTGTTCTGTGTTAACTTTTTTTTTGTAATCCTCATCCGAGGACATTTTTCCATTTTTTGTTCAGGTGAGGGGGGGGAGAAACATCGATGTGAAAGGGACACATCAAGTGATTGCCACTTGCACAACCAACCAGGGTCGGGGACAAACTGCAACAGAGGTACGTGCCCTTAGGGGAACCGACCCCGTCTCTCTGGACCTCAAGCCCACGCTCTAACCGCTGAGCCAAACCGGCCAGGACTGGTCTGTGTTAACTTTTTAAAAAATGTATTTTTTATCTTTATTGTTGAAAGTATTACAGATATTCCCCCCATTTTCCACCGTTGACCCCCTCTGTCACCCCTCTCCTGTCTTCCCCACACTATTGTCTGTGTCCATTGGTTATGCATATATGCATTTAAGTTGTTTGGTTTATCTCTTCCCACCCCCATACCCATCCCCTTTTCCTCTGAGGTTTGTTAGTTTGTTCTCTACTTCCATGTCTCTGGATGCATTTTATTTTATTTTATTTCATTTTTCCCATCACCATTTATACCCCTCTATGCCTCTTCTACCTCCACCATCCCCACCCTGCAGTCACCACACTATTGTCCATATCTTCTCTCTCTCTCTCTCTCTCCCCCCTCTCAATTCTCCTTTCCCCATCCCCCCAACCTGTCTGCCAGTCTGTCTGCTCTCTATGAGTCTTTTTGTATTTTGCTTGGCAGTTTAGTTTGATTGAACAAGCTTTGCTTTTAATTTAGTTTATGATCGTGTCAAAAAATTTCTCAACATCTTTAAGCTTCATTTTGTTCTGTAAGATAGAGATAATCCTGCCCTTTTTCTTAATATGATTTTGATTATCAGATGGGATGAATGGAGACTAAAGGGACTTACCTATTCATCTTTATGTCTCCTGTATTTCATATAGGGTCTAACATCCAATAAATACTGATTCAAAGGGTGAATGGTGAATGTATGTAAAAGAACTTTCTAAAGTGCAAGTGCTACAAATGGAAGCCATTATGTTTACTGTACTTGGTTTGTACTATTCTTAAGTTATTTATTGTAATATGAGAATTGTAATAATATTTGACCATACAATCAAGAAATAGGATTGACTGTTGTGATTGTATTTTTACATACTGTTAATTTATTCATCAGACCCTGTCTGTAATTAAGTATGTCTCTAAAATATGTCAGAATTTTGTTTTAAAAGATGTCTAGCACTAAATTATCTTTACATCTGTTTAGAGTAAACAATTAAAAGTTTTTGTTATTGGGAGACAAGCATAACTGTTTTCACTGTACCAGACTGTTTGAGACACAGATGCAAACTCATTGAATGCCCAGATTGTGGAGGCAGAGTAGCAACATTTTAATAACTAGAAAATGTCCAAAATAAGAATGGCTCTTTTATTTCTATAATTATGGAAAAAAAGTCTTGTCTTTTGTCTCTACAAAAGATTGCTTAGTGTGGAAATAAAATATCATAATGCAAGAACAAATAATGTTCATCTAGAACAGCATTTTAAAATAATCTTCGTGAAAATATTAGGTTTTTCTAGCATCAGCTCTGATTTCTGTAATTGCCTATGCACTGAGTCATCTGTAGCAATTGAATATTTGAATATTTCTCATCCTTTAGGATGTATTTATTTATTTATTTTTGATAAAGTGGCTTCTTTTTATCTGTCATGAATTAAGTAAGCATGCCTCATATAAATTAGCATATGCAGTGTGATCTGGAAGTAAGTAAGAAACTTTAGGGAGCAGTTAAGAGTTGTCAGTGTACTGGAACATCATTAACTAAATGGTATACTCTAGGAGTAATTGGCACAGTTTTTTGTTTGCATTATATTTCTCCACTTCTATCTTCACCCAACACCTTTGAGCATGTTTGGATATTTGGTGACAGAAAGATCATCAAACTTGATTTTTTTTATCCATATAACTATAAATATTAAAATTATCTGTATGAAGAAATATAATACATATCACTGAAAGAGGTAATATGCAGTGATAGTGTCGACTATTTGGCCAAATGAAAAATGAGTGATCTATTTATTGATTGAATGAAATTATTGATCTCAATTAAATGCAGAGAAGAGGGAACTTGCTCCTTCTCTTTCCTTGTTCATTTTTTTCTCCCTGATGGCATTTTAAAGCAATTCTATTAGTAAATAATCCTCTTTTATTTATGTTTTGTTCTTAATTTTACTGTTTGGTATTGTGCTTCAACACAAGGGAAAGATCACAATTGTGTTCTTTTTTTTTTATTTTTTAATTTGTTTTTGTTACAGATGTTTCTCATTTTCCCCCCATTGACATCCTCCTTCCCTTCCCTCCGCCCCATCCCCAGCTTTGTTGTCTATGTTTATTGGTCGTGCATACGTGCATATAAGTTCTGTGGTTTATCTCCCTCCTCCCCCGCAACTCCCCCCCCATATCTACTTTAACATGGTTATTCTTTTTTTCAAAAAAAAAAAAAAAAAATCCTCAGAGGTCAAAATTATTTTCCTTAGGAGAAGCACCAATAGAAATATAATGAGCCATATATGTAATATTAAAATTTCGCATTGGCATATTTTAAAAAGTAAAACAAAAAGGTGAAACTAAGTTTCTGGATTTTTAAAAATTTTTTATCCTCACCTGAGGACATTTTTCCATTTTTTATTCAGATAGAGCGGGAGGGAGAGAGGGGAAGAGAGAGAGAGAAACATCGACGTGAAAGGGACACATCGAGTGGCCGCCACTGGCATGACCAACCAGGGCTGGGGACAAACTGCAGCCAAGGTTCATGCCCTTAGCAGGAACTGAACCCGGGTCTCTTTGGACCGCAGGCTGACTCTCTAACCGAGCCAAACCGGCCAGGGCTGGATTTTTTTTCTTTTTTTTTTTTATGAATTTTTATTTATTTTTTTGTTACAGATATTTTACCTTTTTACCCCATTGGCACCCCCCACCCCACTCCACCTCCACCCCATCCCCGGCTTAGTTGTCCATGTCCATTGGTCATGCATACATGCATATAAGTTCTGTGGTTTATCTCTTCCCATCCCCCTACCCCTCCATCCCCTCTTCTGAGGGATGTCAGTCTGTGCCCTACTTCCATGTTTCTGGGTCTACTGTATTCCTCAGACTGTTATGTTCATTATATTCCGTATATAAGTGAGATCATGTGGTATTTGTCTTTTTCTGCTTGGCTTCTTTCACTTAGGATAATACTTTCCAGGTCCCTCTATGTCGTCTCAAAGGATAAGAGATCTTTCTTTCTTACCGCTGCATAGTACTCCATTGTGTATATGTACCACAGCTTTTTTATCCATTCGTCTACTGGTGGACACTTGGGCTGTTTCCAGATCTTAGCTATTGTAAATAGTGCTGCTATGAACATGGGGGTACATATATTCTTCCTGATTGGTGTTTCAGGCTTCTTAGGGTATATTCCCAGCAGTGGGATCACTGGGTCAAATGGAAGTTCAATTTTTAATTTTTTGAGGTAGCACCATATTGTTTTCCATAGCGGCTGCACCAGTCTGCATTCCCACCAGCAGTGTATTAGAGTCCCCTTTTCTCCACACCCTCGCCAACACTTGTTGTTTGATGATTTGTTGATGGCGGCCATTCTGACAGGTGTGAGGTGATACCTCATTGTTGTTTTAATTTGCATCTCTCTGATGCTTAGTGATGTTGAGCATTTCTTCATATGTCTTTTGGCCATTTGTATGTCCTGTTTGGAGAGGTGTCTATTCAGCTCCTCTGCCCATTTTTTAATTGGGTTCTTTGTCTTCCTTTTGTGGAGTTGTATGAGCACTCTATATATATCGGAAATTAACCCCTTATCTGATACATCATTGGCAATGATGTTCTCCCATACAGTGGGTTGCCTTTCCATTTTGATGATTGTTTCTTTTGCTGTGCAGAAGATTTTTAGTTTGATGTAGTCCCATGTATTCATTTTCTCCTTTATTTCTGTTGCCTTAGGTGATGTATCAGTGAAAATTCTGCTCCGTATGATGTCCGAAATTTTGTTGCCTACATTTTCTTCTAGAATTTTTATGGATTCACGGGTCACATTTAAGTCTTTTATCCATTTTGAGTTTATTTTTGTGTATGGTGTAAGTTGATGGTCTAGTTTCATTTTTTTGCATGTAGTTGTCCAATTTTCCCAACACCATTTTTTAAAGAGGCTGTCTTTACTCCACTGTATGCTCTTGCCACCTTTGTCAAATATTCATTGAGCCTTGGGTCCATTTCTGGGTTTTCAGTTCTGTTCCACTGGTCTATATGCCTGTTCTTGTGCCAGTACCAGGCTGTTTTGGTTACAGTCGCTTTGTAGTATAACCTGATATCTGGTATTGTGACCCCACCTACTTTGTTCTTCTTTTTCAAGATTGCTGTGGCTATTTGGGGACTTTTTTGGTTCCATATGAACTTTTGAAGTATTTGTTCTAGTTCTATGAAATATGTTGTTGGTATTTTGATGGGGATTGCATTGAATCTATAGATTGCTTTGGGTAGTATGGACATTTTAATTATGTTAATTCTTCCAATCCATGAACAGGGTATGTGCTTCCACTTTTTTATATCTTCCTCTATTTCTTTTTTCAATGACCTGTAGTTTTCTGCAAATAGGTCCTTTACTTCTTTGGTTAAGTTTATTCCTAGGTATCGTAATTTTTTTGGAGCGATGGTAAATGGGATTGTTTTTTCAGTTTCTCTTTCTGTGAGTTCATCATTGATGTAAAAGAATGCCGTCGATTTCTTGACGTTAATTTTGTATCCTGCTACTTTGCCAAATTCATTTATTAAGTCTAATAGATTTTTGATGGAGTCTTTAGGGTTTTCTATGTACAATATCATGTCATCTGCAAATAATGACAGTTTCACTTCCTCCTTTCCAATTTGGATCCCTTTTATTTTTTCTTCATGTCTGATTGCTGTGGCTAAGACTTCCAGTACAATGTTAAATAAGAGTGGCGAAAGTGGACGTCCCTGTCTTGTTCCTGTTCTTAATGGAAATGTTTTTAGTTTCTGTCCATTGAGTATGATGTTGGCTGTAGGTGTTTCATATATGGCCTTTATTATGTCGAGATATGATCCCTCTATTCCTACATTGCTGAGCGTTTTTATCAGAAATGGATGCTGGATTTTTTCGAATGCTTTTTCAGCATCTATATATGATCATGTGGTTTTTATTCTTCATTTTGTTTATGTGGTGTATCACGTTTATTGATTTGTGAATATTGTACCAGCCTTGCATCCCTGGAATGAATCCCACTTGGTCATGGTGAATAATTTTTTTGATGTAGTAATGGATCCGATTTGCTAATATTTTGTTCAGGATTTTGGTGTCTGTGTTCATCAGGGATATTGGCCTGTAGTTTTCTTTCTTCGTAGTATCTTTTTCTGGTTTTGGAATTAGAATTATGCTGGCCTCATAGAACGTGTTTGGAAGTCTTCCTTCTTCTTGAATTTTTTGAAATAGTGTGAGGAGAATGGGTGTTAGTTCTTTTTTGAATGTTCGGTAAAACTCCCCCATGAAGCCATCTGGGCCTGGGCTTCTGTTTGCTGGGAGAGTCTTGATTACCTCTTCAATTTCCTTAGTTGTTATTGGTCTGTTCAAGTTTTCTATCTCTTCCGGGGATAGTTTTGGGAGACTGTGTGTTTCTGGAAATTTGTCCATTTCGCTTAGATTGTCGAATTTGTTGCCATATAGTTGTTGATAGTAAGTTGTTGACGATCTTTTGTATTTCTGTGGTGTTGGTTGTTACTTCTCCTCCTCTTTCATTTCTGATTTTGTGTATTTGGGTTCTCTCTCTTTGTTTCTTGGTGAGTCTAGCTAAGGGTCCATCAATCTTGTTTATCTTTTCGAAAAACCAGCTCTTTGTTTCATTGATCCTTTGAATTGTTTTTTTGGTCTCTATGTCATTTATTTCTGCTCTGATCTATACTATTTCCTTCCTTCTACTTGCTCTGGGGTTTTCTTTTTGTTTGCTTTCTAATTCTTTAAGTTGTGAGGTTAGACAGTCAATTAG